GGGCTCCAGCAGCGTCCAAAGAGACCAAAGGGGCGGCTTCATCGCCGCGCAGCGCCATGATATTTCTGATGCCCGCGTTTCGAATCAATCGCAAATACAAGAGCATCTGGGCCTTGGTGTACGGCGCAGATGTCAGGTGCAGGACAACGTCGGTGAAGCAGAAGTTTAACACTGCTTCAGAGAGAGAAATAGTGCTTGTCTCTTTGTAGATGTCGATGTTGTTCTTGTAAGACCAGGTGATGTCAACGAACAGCGGATCAGCCTTCGAGAAGCAGTCGATCCTAAGTGAACGAAACTCAATCGGACTCCTGATTCGTCAATTTTACGTTACTTTACACTTTGCTTACCGATAGAGCAAGTTTTTCAAACCGGCCCGCGTCTGAGGACAGAAAAATTCCAATGAAAAGAAAGGTACGCCTGACTTTATCCGCTCCCTCAATCGTTCCGCCAGCGGAACATAGTCATTGCCATTGCACTGCACCGGCCAGTCCGTTTCACCCATCTCGAAATGACGACGAACGGGATGGGATTTATCACTTTAAACCTGAATCGCTATCAAACGTCGCACCTAGACACTCTGAGGGAGCTATCAAGGAAATAGAAGTTAAATCATTTACTTAAGCACATTCAAGACAGATCTCGAAACATTGTTCACATTACCTAATACCAAACCGATAATAAATAGCAGACTCAGTAGCTGCATGAAACGTACATTCCAGGAAAGGGTTGGAAAAGTGGAAACTCAAAAAGGCTAAGAAAATTTTATACAGTGGGTGACAGTCGCGGTTTCACATTCGCCACTAGTGAGTACCGACGTAGCCAACAACGTCTCTACAAAGCCAACGTCGGTCTCTTTATAGTGAATAACGGGGAACAACCACAGTAAACCATCACTGCCAGGGTGACGTAAGGTGAAATGTACTTTCCATAGCCACTAAGATCTGTCATGAGCACTGTGAAGCTTGGATGGCCAGTTAATGAAGCAATGGGAATCCAAGGCAGACAGACCTCATTACACCAGTACTCCAAATGTATCTAAGAGAAAGTGGCTATGACGATAAACTTAAACAAAAAACCACGACGGACCAGCGACCGTACTTTCGCTTCGTCGTCCAGCTTCTGAAGATTGTGGAATGGCAGGCGACCAGTGAACGATCTGAAAAATGCTCAATGTCTCATACCGGAAAATGAAACGAAATATAAAAAACTTAATTTGTTTTGTAACGTAGTTGCCACGTAGTGCTTTATAGACAACGTAATGCGACAGACAACAACACAGGAACATACAAAATAAAAATCTTCATTGCCTGCAATGTCACGAATTAAGTCTATGTACAATAAATCACCTCTGCTCCGCCTATTTTTCAACTTATCTGATAAACACCAGTACTGGCCGACGATGCAATTCTGTGACGACAAAGGGCTGGTTCGAACTCTGAAGAATGAGGACCGGCGGGGGTTAATCTGATCTGACCGATTCTATCTCATTAGCTGCACGTGCATTTATCTGTCACTCGTTAATATATCAACTTTTATCCATGAATCCTTTTCTCCACTTCATTTTTCCTCGATTTACTAGTTTGTCTCTTGTTGGCAATCGTTGTATCTTATTCCTATATAGTCACATCAGTGGATCACGCGACTGTACTACTCTACTGCTTACGTTAATTTAAACAGCACTAATTCAACTTTTTGAATGACTGAGTAATAATATTGATGAACCATAGCTTAAAAAGTTAAATCCATAACGTCTACTGAACTAAGCCGGACATCATTAATCTGGATAACGCAACCGACAAAATTTGCTTGAGATTTGATAACGGCAGCAACCGCAACAATTGAGGGGGGAGTAGTGGCGTAGTAATATGTCGCTTCGAAATAAAATTGGCTTGCGAACACTAGGAAGAGCATGGCGTTGTGCTGTGGTCATTCCATAATGGGAGAGAGATATGACATACTGCCTGAGGAGAGGCCTTTTAGGCCTGTAATTTGCTTTGACCCCTGATATCTATCTAGTATGGTAATCAGTACAAGACGTAACCCTC